ACCGTTCTCCGTAAAGACGCTTCACAGGTATTTAAACTTCCACGTCTGCTTGAGTCTAGTGTTCCCGACCTTCAGATCGCATTTCGGGCTCATCCCCTAACTGACGATCATACACACCGTTTTCTTGTAATTTATGCTTAGTCCTTTCTTCTCACTCTCCGCCGCTGATCTCTGTACGTGATTTTGTAATTTCTCTTCCGTGTCTGCTATCAGTACTGTGTCGTTTTCATATCTTACGTTGTTAAGATTGTGGCCGCCGATACTAAATCCGGGTAGGGTTTTCAATTCTCTCAAGATTTCCTCGTTGTACTACGCAAAAAAAAAAAAAAATCTTTTTATCGTTTCTATTTTTTCTAGAACTTCGTCGTTGCTGACATATTAAGTCCTCAGCATCCTTCTGTGGAACCTCATTCTTTTGACTCAAGTCTCTTCTTCATCTGCGAGGAGAGTTTACTGTTCAATCTGATGCCTCGTAGCGTAGGGTTTGTCAACAAATGGCTGTCTTCAGAATCCGGTTGGAACTGTTTATATTCAGTTTGTCTTGGAAAAGTTCCGACTCCACTTCTTCCTTTGCTCTGATAGGTCCTGTCCCTGATATACCACGATGGAGAGGGTGAATGTGCACTTTTTTTGTACAGTAAGGTTCACCCTGTACAAAGCCATGGGGACACTCAAGGTCGAGGATTATGTAAAGAAGCAGTCTATGCGGATAGGAGCGAAAGATAATGGTTAACCTTAGATATGAACTGGTTAAGATTATAGTCAACAGGGAAAGATCCCCTCGAGAGTCGGTTCCACAGGGCAGCGATGCACGGGAAGAAGCTGTTCGAGTGGAACTTACTTCTCACCGATGGGAATACGGGGGGAATGTGGGTGGTTTGATACTATGTAAGTGGCATGGCGGGTCCTTGCCGTAAAGGTTTAAAGTGTCGGAACAAAGGAATGCAGTTCGTACGAGCAGTTTCCATGGAAATAGACGAACAACGAGAAGCCTGCCACATGCCACCTATGTGTATGTGTGTGTGTGTGTGTGTGAGAGAGAGAAAGAGAGAGAGAGAGAGAGATAGATAGATAGATAGATAGAGAGAGAGAGAGAGAGAGAGAGAGAGAGAGAGAGAGAGAGAGAGAGAGAGGTTGGAGAATAATTCGTCACCCAAAAGGGCTAGGAGGTGCTTTTGGATTCTATTAAGGTTGGAGAGTGAGGTCTGGGCAGGTCCCGCACCAAATATGACAACCCTACACAATTTTTGGTCTAATCTGGCCAAAAACCTATAGTTTATGAGGAGTCATATACTTACTAAACCGCTACAGGGAGCCGACTACTTTACCTGCCTCTTTAGCATTGGATCATATATACGAGTTCCACTTGAGCTCAGGTCTGAGTTTGAGGCCAATTAAGTCTTCGAAGGCGACACTAGTTATAATGACTGGCGGTAGCTCGTGGTTCGATCGGGGATGATGGAATGTAACTGGTTTGATCTTCGAGGCATTGAATGTAACCAGCCAGATTTTTCCCCTCTGGGTAGTTAGTACTAGATCGGAAGTGAGATTCAGTTGCCAATCACTGACCATCAAGATGTGCGTCCGTGTATAGCTGTATCATTGGCATATACTTGAGCCATCCTTAGCTAGGTGATCTGAGTCGGTATTCAGCAAAAAGATCTTACTACTTTTTGCATGGACTTGATCGTGTTCAATCGTAATAATGTTCAGGATATTCGCTTTGTACAGCCAAAGACCAGCGGCCACAACGTCTCATAATATCAAACATTGTTAGGAATTTCAATTAATGTTTTAGTCAGGTTCGCTTTTCAGTGGAACTTTGAGTGTGCGATAGTCGAAGACGGACAAAAATATGAGGCCAAAAGAGTCATAATCTCTTTCGCTTCGAGCAATGAGGTTATGCTCTTCAGAGGACGATAGTTAATAACATAATACAACCAACATGATTCTTTTTCATTGTTTCGTTCAGATCTTCTTCTTCTTCTTCTTCTTCTAAATTTTCTCTTACATATTCCCCTATCTATTTTTCCTCTTTTCTATATCTCTCTTTTTGCCCCTTCTTCTTCTCCTTCTCCTTTCTATTCCGTTTCACTCCCAACTTTCTTTCTTTCTTTCTTTCTTTTCTTTCTTTCTTTCTTTCTTTCTTTCTTTTTAATATCTACGTATTCTTTGTCTCATCTTTTATTTACTTCTTTCTTTCTTTCTTTCTTTCTTTCTTTCTTTCTTTCTTTCTTCTTAATATCTACGTATTCTTTGTCTCATCTTTTAGTTACTTCTTTCTTTCTTTCTTTCTTTCTTTTAATTCTTCGTCTTTTTTCTTTTATTTTTATTTCAGTATTCTTTTTGATTTCCCTTCTTTTTCACTCGACTTTCTTCTTTCTTTCTTTCCGGCGCTGTTCTTCTACATCCTTCTTCAAATCTTTCATCTTCTTCCGTTTCTTATATATATATATATATATATTCTCTTGTTATATCTTTTCTTCTTCTTTTCTTTCGTTTTGTTTGTTTGTTTGTTTGTTTGTTTGTTTCTTTCTTTCTTTCTTTCTCATCCTCCGTAGTTATTCTTCTTTTCTTAATAATAATAATAATAACAATAACAATAATAATAATAATAACAATAATAACAATAACAATAATAATAATAATAACAATAATAATAATAACAATAACAACATCATCAATAATAATAATAATAATGTGCCTAAATTCTAACCTTCCTTACACCGAAAAATCTCATGAGCAACAATCGTCGCCATTACTAGAAGGTGAAAATATTTCCGGCGTCCTGCGACTTTACCATTTACCGATTCCACTATACAAGCCATCAGAACAAATATAATAATAAAAGACTTCTCAAAAGATCAGTGCTATCTCAGAGACATGGCCATCCTGTTTGATAAAATCATCTCAGCAAAAGAATTTCACAATCTTTCAATTATAAAGAGCTCCAAATAGAAATTTCAAGAATGTGGTATTTACATAAAACTATTATTCCAGTAATAACAGGAGTACTCGGAATGATCAAAATTAAGAACGCTCGTACATACATTAAGAAAATCCCAGTAAACTATAAATGATACAAAAGTTCGTACTCAACAGAATAACTTTGTCAATGTAATATGCTCAACTTTCCAAGAAAAAAATCTTCGTTTATCTATGATCTCAGCCACAAGACATGCTACGTCCTGGGTATGACGATAAACTACATCTGCGTCCAGGGTAAGACGATAAACTAAATCCGCGTCCTGGGTATGACGATAAACTACATCCGCGTCCTGGGTATGACGATAAACTACATCCGTGTCCAGGGTATGACGATAAACTACATCCGCGTCCTGGGTAAGACGATAAACTACATCTGCGTCCTGGGTAAGACGATAAGCTACATCCAGCAGCAAGGCCTCTGATCAGGAGGGTTTTGAAGAGCGTGAAACCACCTCTTAATTGCTGATGTTCCCAGGTCCACCCAGACCCGGGGTGGTAGCACCTGTTAGGGTCCCACCTATGGACAAATAGTTAACCCCTAAACTGGTGTCAAAACACTATGAAAGAGTAAAAATAGGTTTTAATACAAGAAATACTTTGTAAAAAAACTATTACAAGCAATATATTTTTGAAAGAAAAATATTACCAGAAATAAAAATCTTGACGGCATTAAATGACCCATTAAGGTTGATATGCCGTAAAACAAACCAAACCAAGCCAAACCCAAACAAGACTTACTAAAGGATGATATCAAATGGAAGTCAAGAAAATAATAATAATAATAATAATAATAATAATAATAATAATGATGATGATGATGATGATGATGCAGCTTCTGTTATAAATATCTAGGTCAGATGACCAATTGGCCAGGAAGAAAGAAAGAAGGTAGTCGGGTAAAAGAAAACAACTACGAAAAAAAGAAAAAAGAATATGGAATTTCAAATAAGAATAAGCTGGAGAATTTAAAAGAAAGAAAGAAAGAAAGAAGGACAGAAAGAAAGAAAGACAGAAAGAAAGAGAAGTAAAAAGAAAAAGAAGACGTAAGCATTAGGAAAGAAAGAAAGAAAGAAAGAAAGAAAGAAAGAAAGAAGGAAAGAAAGAAACAAACAAAGAAAGAAACAAACAAAAAGAAAATCGTGAAAAAAGAAAACAATTGAGAAAAAGGAATATGGAAATTCAACTAAGAAAAAGAAGGTGAATTTAAAAGAAAGAAAGAAAGACAGCGAAGTGAAAAAGAATAGACAAGGAATAAGGAAATCTAAAGAAAAGAAGGCGTATTCCCGTTGTTGAAAGAAAGAAAGAAAGAAAGAAAGAAAGAAAAAGAAAAAAGAAAGAAGCGGAGTAAACTCTGAATGATATACAAGAGTAAAGAAAGAAAGAAAGAAAGAATGAAAGAAAGAAAGAAAGAAGGAGTAAACTCTGAATGATATACAAGAGTAAAGAAAGAAAAAGAAAGAAAGAAAGAAAGAAAAAGAAAGAAAGAAAGAAGATATAGTAAACTCTGAATGAAAGAAAGAAAAAAGAAAGAAAGAAAAAAAAGAAAGAAAGGGGACAAAATCTGAATGATATACAAGTAAAGATAGAAAGAAAGAAAGAAAAAAGAAAGAAAGAAAAAGAAAGTAAAAAGAAAAGAAAGAAAAGGGACAAAATCTGAATGATATACAAGTGTAAAGATAGAAAGAAAGAAAGAAAGAAAGAAAGAAAGAAAGAAAAAGAAAGAAAGGGACAAAATCTGAAAAGAAAGGGGACAAAATCTGAATGATATACAAAATCTGAATGATATAAAGAAAGAAAGAAAGAAAGAAAGAAAGGGGACAAAATCTGAATGATATACAAGTGTAAAGATAGAAAGAAAGAAAGAAAAAAAGAAAGAAAGAAAGAAAGAAACAGACAAACAAACAAACAAAAAGAAAATCGTGAAAAAAGAAAACAATTGAGAAAAAGGAATATGGAAATTCAACTAAGAAAAAGACAGAGAATTTAAAGGAAATCTAAAGAAAAGAAGGCGTATGCCCGGTGTTGTTTTCTTTCTTTCTTCCTTTCTTTCTTTCTTTCTTTCTTACTTTCTTTCTTTTAAATTCTCCGTCTTTTTCTTAGTTGAATTCCCATATTCTTTTTTCTCAGATGTTTTCTTTCTTTCTTTCTTTCTTTCTTTCTTTCTTTCTTTCTTTCTTTCTTTCTTTCTTAAGCCTTTCCGAAATATATTTGACACACTTCTACTCGGTTAAATAATATCGGTTGGCTTAAAAAGTGTAAAAAAATGAAAAAAGAAAACCTCATTAATCGAAATAGTCTTTATTTCTTGTCATCTCGACCAAAAAAAAAAAAAGTCATCGTCGCTCGAAAATCCACGTTCGACATTCATTCCATTCCTATTTCTATATTACTTCAATTGATTCTATTTCTTCGTTTTCCATATAAAGAATAAAATCTAATATCTTCGTATGATATTAGAATTTCATTTTGCCTTGAGGCAAAATAAAAAAAAAATCCATCGAGCGGCAGTAAAGAAATGAAAATCGAAAATATAAATATTTTATGCAAATAGTTTTATGGAAGCAGCCGAGGTAACTGGAAATTATTTTTCAATTTCTGGGATATATATTTAATTAAAATTTTATTGCATTTCATGAGTCTTAATTAAAATTTATATCAATTTCTAATATTAATTTTTCTTTCCTTTTTCCCCACATTTTTTTTTAATTTAATCTGTCGTTCTCACAACAGGTACTGACCTGGCCTAGTCTTACACAAGGCCATAACTACAGCACCAAAAGAATCTTCAAGAACACTATAGATTAGAATTTCTTTGTCTTTCTTTTATACAACGTATCACTTTTTTGAAGGTTATTTAAAGCCAGAAAATATTTTAGATTATCAATATACTGTACGTTGGGCAAATTCATATTCTTATAATATTTTAAGCATAACTAATGATTCGAAAAGTGAAACTGATAATACATTTTGGAAACAGCCTGGCTGACATTGATGAAGAGAAGACTTGAGGCAACAGAGATATAGCTCTACAGAAGGATCCTGAGAATACCAAAGAAGCAACATGTGAGAAATGAGGAAGATTTAAGCAAAATGGAAACTTATACTTAAAATCAGAAATACAGTGCTGAAATTTCTGGGACACGTAGTAAAGAAATAATTGACTGGTTCGTTTTTTTACGACTTATCAAGGTTTTGCAGGTGATTTGCAACTAGAAAATAATTTAGATTGTAAGGATCTTTATGGAGATAATACAAGATACAAGTTCTACTAATTAACCCATAGATGTGGGGGAGAACAAGTTGATTTTCCCAAGTGTATTTTCACGTAAGTAAATCTAACGAACCCAATTGAAATTGGAACTCTATTCTGTATATATCATATTTTAATTCAAATATTACTGTATGATGAATATTTTGAGAAAATGTACATTTTACTACGGGAAAAATCTTAAGCTTTTACGATATGAAAGTTCTCTCAATTTCGCTTTTAATGATCATTATCTTAAAGGGATGAATTAGCTTTTATCTTAAATACGAATTTAAATTAAGTTCTAGTTTTACACAAATACACTCAAATATTTTTAATAATACTAATTTCAATAAACAAATATTGAAATAAGAAAACTTTTTAACTTTAAATTTAGATTTAGTAATTTAATCATTTGAAATTCAGGGGTAATTATTAGTCATTTTCTACCTTATAATACTGCTAATTAAAATACTATTGCTTGTTACTATTTTTACTTTTTTGGTGAAATGTTCGTCGGCCAAATGACTGTCGGCCACATGTCCATCGGTCAAATATCCCTTCGGCCAAATATCTCTCAGCCAAATATCTCTCGGCCAAATGTCCGTTTCGCCAGAGGTATCATGGCCAAATATCCGTCGGCCAAATAAATCTCTGTCAGCCAAATGTTCGTCGGCCAAATAAACGTCTGTCGGTCAAGTGTCCGTCGGCCAAATATCCGTCGGCCAAATGTCCGTCAGCCAAATGTCAGTCGGCCGAATGTCCCTTGGGCCAAATGTCTCTCGTCCAAATATCCGTCGGCCAAATGTCCATCGGACAAATATCTGCCAGACAAATGTCCGGCCACACAAGGCTATAAGCTTAAAGCGTTCAGTTTTCTGCCGTCACGATGAACGATCGAACTACCAATGAGGCTTTGAACGTCTGCTGAGACTCAAGTTCACTTCAAACCTTAAGTGAAAGTCCTACCTACAGGGGATAATCATTTAAAAATGCTGGAAAAGTGTTCAGCTCCTTGTACCGCTCCAAGAAAGTAACCGACTCATTCTGACATGCTTTATCCCTACAAAAGTAACATTACACACAAAAAAGTAGTATTTCTGCCCCATATGGGCTGGAGTTGCCCAATCTTCTCTCTCCAGCCGCGACAGAGTTCAAAATCATTTATGTTGTTTTGTGAAGGAAGACTTGTTTGTCTTCATACAACTTTTTTTTTTACAGACGCAACGCTTATCAATGGTCTATCTATGGCAAATGTACTGATAGATTCCATTCTTTAGCCGTTCTGGGTATGACGATAAAACTACATCCGCGTCCTGGGTAAGAAGATAAACTACAACCGCTTCCTGGGTAAGACGATAACCTACAACCGCGTCCTGGATATGACGATAAACTACATCCGCGTCCTGGGTAAGACGATAAACTACACCCGCTTCCTCGGTAAGACGATAAACTACATCCGACGGCAAGGTCTTTGATTAGGAGGTTTTGAGGAACATGTAACCACCTCTTAATTGCTGGCGTTCCCAGGTCCATCCTGGCCCGGGGTGGTAGCAACTGTCAGTGTCCCAGCTATGGGCAAATAGTTAACCTCCCCACCCAAAAGTGGTCAAAACATTTTGAAAGTATAAAAATAGGTTTTAATATCACCAATACTTTTTTTTTTTTAAATTATTACCAGCTGTACATTTTTGAAAAAGAAAAATACTACCTGCAATATATTTTTGAAAAAAATATTGCCACACACTTTTGGAAAAGTTTTTTTAGCTGCAATAAAAATCTTGTCGGCATTAAATAACCCATTGAGATGTTGATATGCCGTAAAACAAACCAAACCAAACTAAACAACTAAAGGAGCGAATCATTTTATTGATGTAAAGATGAACATTCTTAAGAAAGGCGCCGTATTTGACTTAAAACCAAAAATAATATTATGTTACATTATAAAAATATTACCAGCAATAAAAATCTTGTCGGCATTAAATAACCCATTGAGATGTTAATATGCCGTAAAATAAACCAAACCAAACCGAACCATTATTTAGTTTCAGTATTCCAGACTTTTACAGACAAGGTTTGATTTGGTTGTTTTTGCTTAGCAGCATATCAAGCTATATGGGTTATTTAATGCCGAAATCTAAATATTTTGTACAAAATATGGTTTCAGCTACAGATATTTTACACGCAAGTTTATTGCTTCTACTAGAGATATTTTGTACATAATTTGTCAATGTAATAACTATCTAAGAAAAAAACCTTCGTTTATCTTTGATCTCAGCTACAAGACTTGCTAAAGAATTATATCAAATGAAAATCAAGAAAATAATAGTAATGTTGAACACATGTTTTATAGAGATGAGCTGTTGAAGTGATTCTTAAAGGTTTTTGAGTTACGAACCCTCTTTAGTCACGGATCCATTTAGTGACGAACTCCTATAAGAACTAGCCCTTTACAGACAGACAGACAAGCAGACACTCACTTTCTGATTGCTTTTTTACAGCACTTCTTGCATTTCACCATACTACACCTTCATGCACTGGGTGCACACATCACTTTTCAGCCATCCACGCTTGAAAGAAAATGTGGTCAACTGAACCTGACCAGTATATGCGGAGATAATCAGGCTGTGATAAACCATGGAAAATGAGAATTATCGCTTGCCTTTGTGGAGCAGAAAAAAGATGGCGGTCGTGTAGAACAAGAGTCAGTAACCTTTTGCTAACTATGTGCCGACTTAGGGTTTTAAAATCATTCAGCGTGTCAACAGTATTTTTATACAAGTCAAGGCCAATATACCTGTTCTACAATATAATTTATATAGTAATATATAGTATATATACTTTAGTATATATTAAATTTCAGACGGCTAAATATCTTCCTTGCTTTGTAGTAGTTATTGGTTCGGACTTCGTGATGTCAATTGCGGCTGCGTGCCACTGGAAATTGTTTAGCGTGCATGAGAATGATGACACAAGTTTAAATGATAAACATGGGCCCGATAGAAAGTCTAGCGGTCGGCACTGTAGGTGGTGGCTTGGTGTGTTTTCTTTAAAGAAACGGCAGGGTGCTTTTTCTTTTATTTCTTTCAATGGGAAACACTTGATTGGGACAAGGGCTCTATAAGGAATATAAATTTTAATTTTATCTGACCCGCACGGACCTCCTGGAACCCATTAATGAACGTTTAGTAGCCAATGGATCTCACGCTATGATGCCATAGTCTATTGTAAGAATTATATGTTTTGGCATAAACGTATTTTCTCATTATTTACATTATTCGGACTTTTGTCCTCATCTTTGTCGCCATATTTATTACAACTTTTCGGCCGCTGTACGCTCCGGCCTTCTTCAGGTGGTTGGAATGTCGATCCCGGTTAAGGCAGTGAAGAACTTGGAGAGGGGAATTAACAGAAGATAACTGACAAATGACATCCATTAAACATGGCGCATAGAACTTGAACAGTCTACCCCAGAGAGCGAAATAAAGGGTTCAGTTCGACTTTCCAACTACCTGATGAAAGGTGGAGCGTACAACGGTCGAAACGTTGTGATAAATATGACAACAAAGATGAGGACAATAGTCCGAATAATATAAATAATGTACATAATACCTCATCTCAGAAATATAGACAGATACTGAAGGGCCTAAACGTTGTGATAAATATGGCGACAAAGATGAGGACAATAGTCCGAATAATGTAAATAGTGTACATAATACCTCATCTCAGAAATATAGACAGATATTGCAAATGTCTAAATTATTCTTTGTATATCCTCTGTGTGGAATTATAATCGGTGGCATATACGAATGTTTTTCCAGTATTTTGCATCGTTAACTTGAGAATACACTCTCCTGCAATAAAACATCGTTCATTTTACAGCTTGAAGAAAAAATGCCACGGCAAAAATATTATTTAAAATGGAGAAATAGTTCAATGGAAGAAAACTGGCTGGCACCATTCGATGCTTCCAGAACTAAGCTGGTAATGTTTAATTATAACAATGTTTGACTTGACGACGCCCCAGATGTATCAACAGTGCAAAAGTGGGCAGCTGAATGAAAGAGGGCAAGGGAGAGCCTTGAAGATGACCCAACGTCTCGAAACTACAGCGGAAAACATTGATCGTGTTCACCACATCGTGTTGAATGACAAGCGATTGATTATAAATCAAATAATCAATGCTGGTCACATCGCGGGAAAATTTGACATTTTTTGAGGCAGATCCAGCTGGTTTCTTTGAACGATGAGTATTAGGTTTATCACTTTGAGCCAGAGACAAAGAGACGATGGAATCAGGTTTTGAGATTAGAAAGGCGTTGTGGTTATTATCATCAAAAGGGCCACACCATCAATGGCGAGCTACTGAGGCAGTTACAAGAACAAACGCCCAGAAGAACTGAAAAAAGCTGTCTTGTTTCATCAGGACAAAGCTCCGGCACACAATTTTTTGGTTTCAATGGTTGCCGTGCGCAGCTGTGGCTTTGAACTAGATGCTCACCATCCTATTCTCCTGATTTGATTATCATCTGTTCCCCAACATAAAAAGCTCCTTTGCAGTATCGCGGTGATGATGACGTCATATCTTCTGCTGAGGAATTCTTTTCATCTACAGGATGAAGGTCTTCTTTGAACAGTCAGATGTCAGTTTATCTGGAAATAAACAATGCAGTTATAAATAAGAAGAGTTGAAATTAATTCGTGGAAGCTTTCACATCTCTAACGTTATTCCTTCGTCGTCAGTCTATGAACTTTTCAGCACAACATTGTATGGTAGGGAATGTTAGACAATCTATCCACGGACGAGAATAATACTAGAGGCAACAGAAACGTGGTTCTACAGAAGGATACTGAGAATTTCATGTACGTAACGAGTAAGTCTTAAAGAAAACGGCAACAGAAAAAAAATGACTTTTACACAAAACGAGAAAAAGACAGCTGTAATTCCTTGGACACATAATGAGGAAGGAGGGCTTGGAAAAATTAACCCTCACGTGGCATACTGTGGACTACAGAGATAGGAGAAGTCAGCGAGTCACTTACCTGGTGTGACTGTATGAATGGATGAGGGAACGGGTAGGCGGGAGTTTTAGAAAAACTGGAAAGAGATATACGAGATAGGAAGTTGTGGAGAACCATGTCCGCCTATGTCATAGAAGAAGTAGAAGAAAAAGAGGAAGAATTAGTACATTATCAATATTTTCATGAATTAATATTGATAAAAAAATGCACCATGTTGTTGCGAGTTTAATGCAAGTATCGACTGAAATTTACAGACAATTTTCTTGCCAGTTTCGTCGAGAAGAAATGAAAATTTATTTATTTATTGTTAAATTTTTAATAATTCTAGCACTGAACGGTTTATGGCTGGCGGCAAATTTTTCTCGTTTTATTTTATTTGTTTTTTTTTTTTTTAGAAAATGTCTAACGTATATTCCAGATTTGAAAATTCAAATTTGAATATTGCCCGATTTGAAGTTTCAGAGTTCAAAAGGTCATTTTCGGCCTAGGAAGAAAATTGAACAATTGCAGACGTTCAAAAAAAGAAAGAAAGAAAAAAAAAAAGAAAAAAAGAAAAAGGCGTGAATGTTGAATTCAACTGTTGAAGTTTTTTTTTTCTTTTAAAACTTTTTTTCATGTGACTTTGAATAATTTTTAATAAATTTAATCATTTCTTTATTTTCCAAGCTGGTATTATTAGTACTGGATTTTCGGCTGAATTTTTTCTATTTAAAAAAAAAAAAAAAAAAAACAGAAAGAAAGAACAACTACAATTGGTATCTATTGTTGGCATTATTAACTTGTCGCTGACTATTCTTTGCACTGTAAAATATGTTTATTAAGAATATTGTTGCTTTAATATGAAGTTCATTCAAGTGAATGTAAGATTTTGGAAACTTTGCAATTTTCTTGCCTATCAATATATTTCATTCTGCCCATATAAATTTATTTCGTATTATGTCAGCACGTTCCTTTCTTTCTTTCTTTCTTTCTTTTTCTTTTCTTTCTTTCTTTCTCAGTCTGTTCAAATCTATCTATCTATCTATCTATCTATCTATCTATCTATCTATCTAAGTCTTTTTGTATGTATGTATCTGTGTTAGTCTTCTCATATCTATCTATCTATCTATCTATCTATCTCAGTGTTTTCGTTTCTATCTATCTATTTTAGTCATTTCATATCTATCTATTTATCCATTTCTGCCTTTTCTATCTATCTATCTATCTATCTATCTATCTATCTATCTATCTATCTATCTATCTATCTTAGTCTTTTCGTATGTATGTATGTATGTATGCATGTATCTATCTATCTATGTTAGTCTTTTCATATCTATCTATCTATCTATCTATCTATCTATCTATCTATCTATCTATCTATTGTTTTCTTACTTATCACATGTACTGTTTCAGATATACTTTTCCTCTCCTTTGCCCTCACACACATAAACTTTGCATATACTCATATAAACACTCTAAGATACATACCCCACGAATATACACACAGGCATGCACGCAATTCATTCACATTCCTGTAAGAGTAGAAAAAAAAGTAATGAAGCAAATCTCCCCAAAATGGCGGAAAAGGTAGTGGTAGTCCAAGAAGCCAAAATAGAATAAAATACAAAAGAAGAGGTGAAGAGAGGTACAAAATGGCAGCCAATATTCAATTCGATTGATAAGGCTAAAGAGAGCGATCCTTCCCGCTTCCGTTCGTCCGCCAACCTCATTCACTGCCTTGCTTCTCGTCTGCTTCTTTGATTGTGTCTTTATCCCATTTTCAACCATTCGCCATTTTGCCTCGAGTTAATCCTGTATTTGTTTCTAAAGGTTTAGTCTTTACTTTTTTTTTAAATTTTATTTATTGTTATAAAATTTCTCTAAAGATTTTTCTTTTTTTTTTTTAAGTTGTTTGTTTTTAATTTTTTGGCTTACGTTTTTCGTTTGTTGGTTTCATCTTTTACTTTTAATTCTGAGCCCTTCTTTACACTTTGTCACATTTGAATGTTCTTGTTCCATTAAATTTTATACTTTTCGCTCCTTAGCCCATTATATATATATATATATATATATATATATATATATATATATATATATATATATATATTAATTCTCACTAATTCTCTCTTCATCATTGAGTCTTTTTTTATGCTTTATACCAATCTCGATTTGATTCTTTTTTCTGTCTTTATTGTTTTTCTTTCCAAAAGACTTACCCATTCTATTTTCGTTTTCCTTTTATATTCTTTTCATTTTATTACATACTTTGCATTCTTTACACATTTTTGAAACTTAGTTTCTCTTGTATTCCATATCGCTTTCTTTCTTTCTTCAATTTTCTTTTAATTTAATTTATCTCTTTATTTTTGTCTTTATTCTTCTTGGCGTTACATTCGAAACTTTTCTTTTTTTCTTTCTTTCTTTCTTTCTTTCTTTCTTTCTTTCTTTCTTTAAACCTCTCTACTTCTATTTCTCTTTCTTCAATTGTCTTTTCTTTCACTTTTCTGGTTAGATTTTGTTTATTTCTCTTTTTGTTAAATTCGAAACTTTTCTTTCTGGTTTTCTTTCTTTCTCTTTTTCTTTCTTTTTCTTCTTTCTTTATCACTTTCTATTTTAAAAAATTTTTTTTTACTTTTCTGTTTATATTTTCTTTCTTTAATTTTCCTTCAATTTTCTTTTCCTTCATTTTTTTCTGTTTATATAGTTTTCTTTTTTTTTTAAATTCGAATGTTTTTTTTATTTCACGTTTGGTTAAATTTGAAAATTTTTTTCTTTCTTTTTCTTTTTCCTTTAACCATTTGTAATTCTATTGCTTTTTTATTTTTTATTTCACTTTTCTTTCTTTCTTTCATTTCTATCTTTCATTCTTTCATCCTTTCTTTCTTTCTTTCTTTCTTGCCACTTTGATATCATTCCACTTTGAAACCCTTTCTTTCTTTCTTTCTTTCTTTCTTTCTTTCTTTCTTTCTTTCTTTCCACTTTTATATTATTCCACTTTGAACCCCTTTCTTTCTTTCTTTCTTTCTTTCTTTCTTTCTTTCTTTCTTTCTTTCTTTCCACTTTGATATCATTCCACTTTCTTTCTTGCTATCTTTCATCCTTTCTTTCTTTCATCCTTTCATCCTTTCTTTCTGGTTATTTTCTTTATTTTTCTTTTTCCTTTAATCCTTTATAATTCTATTGCTTTTTTTAGTTTTTTTTATTTCACTTTTCTTTCTTTCTTTCTTTCTTTCTTTCTTTCTTTCTTTCTTCAATTTTGTTTATATTTTCTGCATACTTTTTGTATTTTTTCTTTCGTTAAATTCTAAATTTTTATTCAATCTTTTCTTTCACTTTCCTGTTTATATTTTCTCTCTTTATTTTTCTCTTCAACTTTCTTTTCTTTCACTTTTCTTTTTCTTCTTTATTTTTTTGTCTTTAATTAGAAATACTTCATTCTTTTTTAAAAAATGTTCTACTTCTACTTCTCTTTCTTAATTTTGTCTTTTCTTCCACTTTTCTGTTTATATATTCTTATTTCTCTTTGTTAAATTCGAAATTTTTTCTCTTTCTCTCTATCTCTCTCTTTCTTTCATTCTTTCTTTCTTTTTCTCTTTTTCTTTCCTAGTTTATTTCTTTCTTCCCTTCATTTTGCTTTCTCTGCTTAACCCTTGCTACTTCTACTTTTTTTCTTTATATTTTTATTTCTTTTTTCTTGTTAAATTCTAAATTTTCTTTCTTTCTTTAAAGACAAAAATAAAGAAGAAGAAACGGAAAAGTGAAAGAAAAGAAAGTTGAAGAGAAAAATAAAGAGAGAAAATATATAAACAGGAAAGTGAAAGAAAATAATTGAAGAAAAATTTAGAATTTAACGAAAGAAGAATCCGCTACCTTTCTTTCTTTAATCTTTCCATTAAATTCAAAATTTTTCTTTCTTTCTTTCTTTCTTTCTTTTCTTTTCTTTTTTCTTTTCTTTTCTTTCTTTTTACTTTTGTATATATCATTCAGATTTTATTCTCTTTCTTTTTTCTTTCTTTCTTTCTTTTCTTTTCTTTCTTTTCCACTAGTATATCATTCAGATTTTGTCCCTGTTCTTTCTTTTCTTTCTTTTCTTTCTTTTCTTTTCTTTCTTTCTTTTCTTTTACACTAGTATATCATTCACATTTTGTCCCTGTTCTTTCTTTTTTTTTCTTTTTTCTTTCTTTCTTTCTTTTCTTTCTTTCTTTCTTTTTTTTACACTTGTATATCATTCAGATTTTGTTCCCTTTCTTTCTTTCTTTCTTTCTTTCTTTCATCCTTTCTTTCTTTCTTTCTTTCTTTCTTTCTTTCTTTCTTTCTTTACACTAGTATATCATTCAGATTTTGTCCCCGTTCTTTCTTTCTTTCTTTCTTTCTTTCTTTATTTCTTTCTTTCTTTCTTTCTTTACACTTGTATATCATTCAGATTTTATTCTCTTTCTTTCTTTCTTTCTTTCTTTCTTTCTTTCTTTCTTTCTTTCTTTTTTCTTTACACTAGTATATCATTCAGATTTTGTCCCCGTTCTTTCTTTCTTTCTTTCTTTCTTTCTTTCTTTCAACACCGGGCATACGCCTTCTTTTCTTTAGATTTCCTTATTCCTTGTCTATTCTTTTTCACTTCGCTGTCTTTCTTTCTTTCTTTCTTTTAAATTCACCTTCTTTTTCTTAGTTGAATTTCCATCTTCTTTTTCTCAATTGTTTTCTGTTTTCACGATTTTTTTTTGTTTGTTTGCTTGTTTCTTTGTTTGTTTGTTTGTTTCTTTCTTTCTTTATACTTGTATATCATTTACTCCGCTTCTTTCTTTCTTTCTTTCTTTCACTCAATGATGGCTCTCCACAATTTCTTATCTTTCGTAGCTCTTACTTATTTTTTTACTTTTTTACTGTCTCTCCTAAACCTTGTTCTGACAAGTGTTTACTCAAGCTCGTCCTGTTTCTTCTTCTGTGTGCCGTGTCCCTTCAGGACATGGATATTCATGGCTCTTCACAATTTCCTCTTCTCTCGTTCATTTTTTATCAATTCATAGTAGCGGCATTAGTAGTGTTAAAAAGGAAGCAAAAAATATTTTATTCCAGGTTATAAATAATTTTCCTTTCTGATATCTTTTGATAAAATTTACAAAGCGCTATTTGCGCTTGTTAATTTATGTTCAACTATTTCGTAATTTGTCTTTTTTTTTCTACTGTTTTTGTTTACCTAACCAATATATATATATATATATATATATATATATATATATATATATATATATATATATATGTTAATTTTTTTTTGGTTTATTCTAAAACACATAACTTATATAAAGTGTGTATACATATATTATATTGTTCCAAAAGTTTTCATAGCCGTGAATATAGTGGAGACAAGCTCCAACTGTCTAAAAAATGTTTCCGTGACATGCGTTTCAAATAGCTTCTGACAAGCCGGAGAATGGGCGAATGCGGACAACTGGCGCATCATAACCAGCTACATCGGGGATCTGAGCTCAACAGCACGGGAGGACAATCCATCTACGGGAAAGAAAAGCCTGATTTTAATCCTCCGCTACTTTACGGTCATATCCAAATATGGAAAAGACTTTGGAAGTAAGTCAAGACAGAAAAACCGAAGTGAATACCCGGATGTGGTTGGCAGTAAAAACTGACAACTTTCTGGCAACACCTTCATCCAACCCATTCACTAATATAATGCCTAGTATTCCTTTAGATCTTGCCGGTAGTGCCGAAAGGGTGGAGTAAATACTCTGGAAGCGCAGTGCTTCCATATACCATCGCTCAGGCCGGTGCTCTGCAGAGGTCATACCAGTCTTATCATATTGAATACTTAACCCATAAATATAGCATACGTTAAAACTATAATTTCATAATATATATATATATATATATATATATATATATATATATATATATATATATATTTAAACAATCGCCCTGGCTGTTACCATGGAAATTTTGATTTCAATAATGAATATGCTATTAAAACACGTAAATTTCAGAAACACGTTATTCCCAAAACAATTTCGCTTGAAGATGGAACAGAGCTTACTTTAATTCAATTTAATTCAAATAATTATATTGAAGTTTTCAGCTCTTGTTTTGAAACATGAGACCTCTTATGTAGCGTGTTGGAATCATATTTTTAAATAAATAATTATATTTATGCTCTACTTTTGTATCGAGCACTATTTTTTAAAATAATAACAAAAATACAAAAGAACTTTGGATTATTTACCTAACGAGTTCTTTCCCATTTTCTATATATTTTCACACACACACACACACACACACACACACACACACACACACACACACATATATATATATATATATATATATATATATATATATATATATATATATATATATTTAAAAATCAGGAGGTCAGTTGAATTCGCTACCTTTGATTTCAGCCTTACGGTGTCCTTAGCGGAATTTTATAAAATGACCTCTTAACGGTTTATTTTTTAAAAATCTAATGAATACCCTATTTTTATTTTCAAAAATAAATAAACAAACGTACGGCGTTGGGTGTAATAGAAAGGGAGAAGAAGGATGTGAATAAGCAAAAAGAAGAAGAAGAGGAAAAAGAACAAGAAGGAGGGTGTGGAGGAAGAGAAGAAAAGCAAGGGTATTATAAATGTATCGGTGGGGGGGGGTAATTGACATGTACAATACTTTTTTTTATCCAGACTCATATGTACTTAAGAGGAATTTTCTAAGATGTAAGCAAGGAGTTAAGACTACGGATTTCTGGTTTAAAATGTTCTTTGGATCCCGAAATGTCATAATTGTTAATTTTTCCTGTTGGCGGAGGTTGCAAATATCCCGATGACCCCAGTTTAAATATAAATTCGAGAGGAACACATCAAAAGAAATTCAGTGAAGTCATATGCCGTAGAGAAGCTCGGTGGAAGTGTCATTGGCATGAGGAGCATTACACATTCAGATCGCTTCAGGTGAGTTTCAATTACTTTCTAGTAATTTCCTTCTTGTGGTTGTTGTAATGCATTTCTAGCTAAGCATGCGTGGAATTTAAAAGAAAAAAAGGCACAGGGATCCAATTGTAAGGTGGAAAATTTAAAAAAAAAAAGGGACATCAGGCGAACCTCATGTGCCACATTCTAACCTCCTTTTTAACCCCACTAGGCACGTCAGATCATTCCCTAATCAGTGTCCAGATTTCTGCCAAACCTAATGCATCCAATGATGTACCTTTTCATAGAACGATTTTTTGCTATGCAAAGGCAGATTGGGAGAGTTTTCAATCCTACAGGATGAAAACTCCCCTCCCAACCTTCTTCAAGCATGCAAGAATCCATTTGGTGGAAAGCTCAGACCTTTTCACCCAATGGATCCTTTCTGGAATGGATATTTGTTTGTTTTGTTTTACGACATATCAACCTCAATGGGCCATTTAATGCCGACAACTTTTTTTTCTCCTGGTAATATTTTTATTTTGTCTATTTCTGGAAATATTTTTTTCCTCAACATTGTATAGCTGGTAATATTATTTTCAAAAACGTATTGCTGGTAATAGTTTTTTTCTTCAAAAATTATTTCTGGTAACAGATTTATTTTACGAAGAATTTCTGCTATTAAAACTTATTTTTATATTTTCATAATGATTTTTACATCAGTTTTGAGTGTTAAGTATTTGCCCATAGCTGGGACCCTGACAGGTGCTACCACCTCGGGTCAGGGTGGACCTGGAAACACCATCAATTAAGAGGTGGTTCCGCGCACCTCAAAAACTCCTGATCAGAGGCTTTGCTGTTGGACGTAGTTTATTGTCTTACCCTGGACGCGGATGTAGATTATCGTCATACCCAGGGCGGCTGGAATGGAGAGTTTTATGCCCAAGAAAAAAACCCAGCAAAAACAGTCAGCCCCGATTCGGCCCTGAAGGCGCTTCGGCCATAACTCACTGGAACCATTACTTCAACATCTATCGCAAGGAGCGATATACTTTGATCCTTACTCTATTCAGAACTGATCGCAACCTTTGCAGAAAAGTTCGAGAAAACGTCAAGCAGCTACGCACACTCACTCCAGGCCAAGGTTGAAAAGGTTGGTTCTGTGAATTCTGGACGGTCACCAACCAATCTATGACCAGAGGTAAAGCGATTGTGCCCACAATTTTAATTGGCCCCGACGTCATGCATTCCTCGACGCACAAGGCGAACATCTTCGCTTCGATCTTTGCGTCAGATTAACATTTGACGACAAAGTCCACCTCCGTTACAATTTCCCATGTCTCACTGAACACAATCTCAGTATTATTATCATTACAGCATGAGACGTCTCTAGATTGATCAAAGCCCTTGAACTTAAGAAAGCCACTGGCCCACATGAAAGCAACGATAATCGCTAGTATAATATATTAATATATATTCTTAACACATTTTGAAATGAACAAAGTCCGACAATTATTTTAAGATATTTTTATGTTTATACATTCTTTTTATAGATACAAATGTTTAACATAAAAATGCCTTAAAATAATTGCTGGACTTTGTTCATTTCATAATGTGTGACGTCATTTGTTTACATTTGGATACGCCATGAGCAGATATGAATGAATGAGACAATATCATGGAGAATTGTGTTTAAAAACAGTAAAATCGACCTTGCTAACCGAACGTTCCTCTGTGGCCCAATCGGTTAAAGACACGTCAGGCTTTATGACGGTTCCGTATAGGATACAGGTTCGATTCCTGTCGGAGGATGAATATTTTCTATTAAAAATTCTCTGACATTCAGGCCGGTAAATGTTGTTTAATAATGTTTATTATAAAACAGAGCATTTACTTAAATATTTGTATCTATAAAAAAGAATGTATAAACATAAAAAATGTCTTAAAATATATTCTTAACCTTGCATAATCTGGCAATCCTGAATCTGCGCTCAACGAAAATCGTTCCCTGTGCCTAAGGCTTTTTAATGAGCTATGAATCATTGAAATCGGACCAGTGGGAGCGGAGGAGTTGCTTGGACACGCACACATACACTGTACTTTATATATAAGATATAGACAGTTTAATTTAGTTCAAGTCTGGCAAGAGGCTGTGTTTGTTGATGATTACCGGGAGATGTGGCTACAATTTACGAAACCAGAACTTGTATCATTAGACTAGACAACTGCTCTTTTTACTATTTGTCGTGTGTTTCTCCTACCCACTCTTAACCGAGCCTTTTAGTAACCAACCCTCGTATTCACCATCTGACTATCCAGAGGCACGTATACAAAAAGCCGTTACACAAATCCTTTCGTAAAACTCTTTCATGTGACCCCTGGTCGGCGCCTATCCATGACACATGGGCGAAACCCAGCTATTTTTAGCAGCAACTGGGCTTGGTTGTGTTATCAACAGCACGAAGCCCTAATTGGCGACAGGTCAGGGTATAGAATTTAAAGCAACGATCATGGCTAGTATAATATATTAATATATGTTTTTAACCTCGCATAATCTGGCAACCCTGAATCTGAGCTCAACAAAAATCGTTCCCTGTGCCTAACTTTTCTAGGGCTTTTTAATGAGCTACTAATCATTAGAATTGGACCAGTGACAGCGGAGTAGTTGCTTGGACACACACACACACGAAACAAACACACACACATGCACTGTACTTTATATATAAGATAACCAA